GAAAGTCGACTGGAGGTTGCCTGAGGATACCTCAGGGTATGCCTCATTGAAGGCACGACAGCGTTCCTGTGTTGGTACATCGCCGGAATTGATTCCAAAGGAAGTGCCAAGGGAAGCTGAGAGTACGCCTGTGAGGCCTATTCCCATGCGTAGTCCTAGCACCAATCCTTTTTTGAACCGTGAGGTTGATTGCGCCGAAAAGGAGCGAGAGTTACACAGCGAGTTGTTGAGTTTTCTAACTCGCCCAACTGTGGAAATCCAACAAAGTTGTTGGTGAGGTTGACTCACCTAGGGAGGGGCCCTGGTCCCTTAAAAAGGAGTCTAGGTTAGTCGGTGGTGGGGTTCCTAGTAAACCTCAGAGTAAGCCTCACAGGCCTACAATTACCCCCGACCGATACAATGGTAAAGTTCTGTGGAGCGATTATTACCAACATTTTGAGGCATGCTGCAAGGTAAATATGTGGAGTGAGGAACAGGCAGAAGAATTTCTGGCTGCCAGCCTTCAGGGTGATGCCCTACAAAGTCTGGGCGATGGTTCAAAGAAGTTCACTTACCGTGAACTGGTTAAGGTGTTAGAGAGAAGATTCGGCCCTGGACGACAGGCCGAAAACTATTTGGTGGAATTGAGATACAGAAGACAGGGGCCCAAAGAGACTCTGCAGGAGTTGGGCCAAGCAGTCCGTGATCTCACGGTGAAGGCTTACCCTGAAATTCCTGAAGTGGCCCGAGAGCGCCTTGGTAAAAATCATTTGTCGATGCAATTAGTAGTCAGGTTGTGAGGGAAGGCGTTCATTGTGTTCGTCCCAAAACATTGGACCAAGCGATACAGGCCGCTCTTGAGACCGAGAACTTCGAAAAGATTGAGGTTCAGAGAAGAGCCGAGGGAAAGCCCGCGAAATTCGCGAGGGCTATCGACTCTGACACTGAGCGACGTCTTCAGAAACTCGAGGAAAGTGCTGGCCATCAGTCAAAGAGATTAGACCAGATGGTTGAGTTGCTGACAGGACTCAGCAAACAAGGTCCAAGCCCAAGTGGACAGGCGAAGTCCCCCCCAAGGCAATCACCAAAGCCTGGGAGGAAGAAGCCTAGTGAGTTGAAGTGTTTTAAGTGTGGGGATGCTGTTCATTTCGCTCGTGAGTGCAGTAAGCATCACAAGCAGAGAAGTGAGCAGGGAAACGTCAGCCAGCCGACCGGTGGGCCCGCGGGCAGGCTGGATGTTCCAGAGGGCCCAAGCAAGGCAGGAAGAGGCGGAAATCAGAAGGCGGAGAGCCTATAGGCATTCAGCCTAAGTTGGGTGTTCGGCCTAGATATGGGTTGTTCATAGATGGTGTTGTAAGGGGAACAAGCTGTAGGTTCCTGGTGGACTCAGGGTCTACAGACACATTGGTCAGTAGTCGAGTCTACCAGGAAATGGCCAAAGAACAGAGGCCTGTGCTAGACATGGACAGCACCAACATTCAACAGGTCGATGGCAGTCAACTGTCAGTGATGGGTGTTGCCTGGGTTGATGTACAATTGGGGAGAGCAACTTTCCCAGTGCGAGCAATATTTGCCGATGTCAAATATGACGGTATATTGGGCATGGATTTCTTGTTGCCCACTGGCAGAAATTTAGATTTCCAAAGTCTCGAATTGAGGCTGAATGGCGAGTGGCTGAAATGTACAAGCAGTACCGGAGAGCCATTCATTGGAAGGGTGCTCGTGGCTGAAACCATGGAAATTCCTGCAGGTCATGAGGCTGTTGTGCCTGGCGAGGTAGCCACTATCTGTAAGGCAGCTGATCAGCCAGCAATCATCGAGCCTGTGGGAAGTGGAGGTGAATTGGCTGAGCGAGGCCTAATGCTAGCCAGAACACTGGTCCAGTTGAGGGCAGAGGTTCTTCCTCTGCGGATTTTAAATCCAAACAAGGAGAAACGGGTAGTTC